CTTCAAGCTTCTTACCACTATACGCGACAAAATATCAAACATTTCTTTTTGGAGATCTAAATTTTGAGTATGTTGATGCCTTAAGTCCGTCACATCTTCTTTTATTCTCTGTACCTTTGCGTCGACCATCTTAATTTCTTCAACCGATGCCTCATCAACCCATTTGAAGAAATGCGACTCATTCGGCCTCTAATTAACAAAAAACCAACATCGATACCCATATGTTAACAATAAAAAATTAAATGAAATTTAGTACCTTCAAAGCAATCGAGCATCTATAGAAGATACGGTAAGGTTTTTCCTTTGTCTTCGATATGTATGTGATGATATCGTTACCACACCAACATCCGCAATTCGTCGGAAGATCTGGAGGGTAAGCACCATATTAAAATTGAGAAGTAGAATTCTTTAATCGAAGATAAACCAAGAAATCGGATAGGAATCCCAGAAATCGATAAGAACCCTAAATCCCCAATCTGATCGCTCGATTATGACTATAAGGGAGAAGAAAGAAGTAAACGACGTCATCTGGAATTAACTCGGCCAAACCACAAATTGAATTTACGATAAGTCAACCAAACCTCATTATATAACTCAGTCATAACGTTATGTTATACCTCAGACGGAACGTAACTATAACTCAGCCATACCCCGAATTTGAATATCAAAATCATAAATCAGCCATATCTAACGTATAGATGTTGAAAGAACACACGGAAAGCTTGTGAAGTTTGTTCTCGATGACTACAGATTGAATGAGTTGAGCCATCATGTAACAATGACCTACATGTTATCGACAATAATTCAGCCAAACCTCGAAATGGTATGTGTAAGTCAACCATGACGCTGACATAACTCAGCCAAACCACAAATTTATTTACGTTAAGTCAGCTATGTCGTTGGCATAACTCGGCCAAACCTCGAATTATTCTATAATAAGTCAACCATGTCGTTGGCATAACTCGGCCAAACCTCAAATAAGATAGATGTGAATATTTGATGCACTCATGTAATAAAAACACTTTAATAATATGTAGTTAACACTTTTATTAACTTTCCATAAAAATTCATGAAATTCGCTCAGGTTTGTACCTTTTAAAACTTATCCAACAAAACGATAAACCTCAAACCCTATACTTATGTTCTATTCCTACATAGTTGATCAAATATAGAATGGAAAAGA